ATGGTAGACACGAAAAACAATACTAAATTAGAAAAATATGTGAAATTCAATGAAAACGTCAGCTCAACTCGTATTATTGTGAGAAAATTCTGCTTCTACCATTCCTTCATCACCTTAAACGAAATTGGGTAAATATATCTCAAACAAGATTTTGTCTGATAAAGAAAATGTCTACCGTCCAGTCTAGAAGGTCACTTACGGAATGGGTCCCCTGTCCGTTGATTGGCTCCATTCTCCGGACGTATCCGTGTCCGTGTCCGTGTCCATATGCGTGTGTTTGTGTGTGTCCTTGTGCATGTGTGTGTGCGGTTGCCAAGCCGGGACAGGAGTCACTAGGTGCTGTTTGGCCATCTGTGCTGTATGCTGCAGTCTTGTGCGGTCCGGTGTGCACCGTGGCCGTGGAAGGTGGCAACGGGAGACGAGGCTGGCCAACTGGCGTGGGCATCTCGACGGCCCAACTGGAAGTACGTCGAAGGGTCGGTGAGACGTCCCCGAAACGGCCGATGCTTTCGGCGCCGTACATGACCCAAGCCGGCCAGGATTGTCCGGTCGAGGGGTCAGTTGCCCCCTTCGTCGCGATGGAGACCGAGGCCGAGGCTGAGGCTGGAAGCGAAAACACGCCGGCGCCGAGGTTGCCGTCTGTCCGTACTCGATGGACTCCGATGTCGGTGTGCCGGTACGGGTTGGTCTCTTCGTCTGGCCGGGCAATCTGGTACCGAGCGCTGCGGAGGCTCGAGAGACCGGCCAACTCACTGGACGGCAGGCCTTGACGACCCGGCAACAGGCCTCCATCGCTGGGCGAATAGCCGGTCAGGAAGCCGTCGTCCGGCGCCGATTGGCCAGCCAGCTCGAGCTGCTTCACCTCCGCCTGGCAACAAGTGCTGGCGCCCAGCTCGGAGCGTCCCGGTCCCACCAGCCACTGGGACAAGGCAGAGGAGACGCAAATTAGCCTCTTTTCGACGTCAGTAGACGTCGAGATCAACCCCTCTCAGCTTGGCATAACAACTGACTCGTTGTAGGCACAATTAGTAACCGTGTCCTGACGCATATCATGAGATAACATTGTTGTGGAGACTTTTTTTTCCTACCAAAGTGCATGATGGAGAGATTCACAAGTCGATATCATCAGTCGTTTAGCTTCAATACCACGTTCAGATTGATGCAGTCTAACAAATATCCTCGCTCGTTTTGAATGGAAACAAGCTGATCTTTCGTTCGTCATTCCACTTGACGAGCAACATCAGAGATGGGAAGCATTCTTGTCAAAGATTATATTCGGTTCTCTTCTATCTCTTAAATATACACATAACTAAAAAAGGAAATTATATAGGCACAAATAGACATAGAACACACACACACACACACACACACAAGTAAAAGTTGGATGACAATCATGAAAGATAAATAATACCTATTTTCGTTTTTTAAGTTACATATATTCTTCTTGATGATATCCATCGAATGACGGACGAAAGCTCATCCTATTTATTTCCGAAGCGAGAGAGAATGTCTCGTGAACCACGTCAGCCTGAACGTCGTATCAAAACCAAAAGGCTTTAGTACAACGGGATTCATCCGTCGTCTTCTGGTGAGATCAA